CCAAAGTTCCATACATGTAGCTGTTATGTGGATGTGGAATGACTCTTTGATTTTGATTTTATTATTTCAGCAATTTTTATACATGAAGTAGATTGTTACCTGGAGTAAGACAAAAATATTTGATTTCAAATTATGTATCACAAGCAAAAGTGTAGTATAATTGTCTTGTTTGCAAAGTACATAGGCACAATGTGTAGATTTTCTTTATGTGCTGTTGAGTATGGCCATTGTTCAAGATTTGTATACTGTGTGGCAATGAACATGGACTGAGTGAAATGAAACAACATGTTTAATATAAAACTATCATTACATTACATATCCATGTCCGTCAACTTTCCTTTTCAAGGTTAAAGGGCGGTGGTCGTCGCGCTGCACATGTGCAACATTTGTGTTGATAAACATTGATTTTCCCACAATCCAGTGCGCTCAACTAATGAAAATCACCTGGGCGACCTGACCTGGGCGCGACTTACACTAATTACTGCCGGTGACTCATTCAATGCCTTCCAATAACCTAAAAAATACCTAATTAAAGCTTCTCAGTTTGTACTCATTGATCTGCACAACAATCAAAGTCACCATCTTTGTTTATATATCTCGCGCATGCGTGGCACGACGACTACTGCCTTTTAAAACATTGAAATATCTTCTTCAGTATTTTGACTCCACTATGGTTTTGAGAAAGAGTTTAGAACACTGTCATTCATCAAGATAAACTTAAAAATAATAAATATTGATTTAAATCTATGAGAAGCATGTACAGTCATTTAAGGCCTGAAAATCCAAATAATAATTAGATGTTAAATGTAAAAGAAAAATTGTTTTTCTAGACAGAGCCGCTGCATTGGGTCAAGATTTGTCCAGAATACCGTACAGAGAGACAAACTGGAGGGGCACAAAGACAAGAAGCAGTAAGTATAGCGATATTCATCTTTAATCTCAATAAAAACTGTTGTTATGTTGGCTAGAGGCTAGATTTAAAAATGATCCTCAGCTTTTCAATTTGTTCAAGACAGATTTTTCACAGGGACATGGGAAACAACAACAAAATTCACACTTAACTACACACATTGTCCAATCTGCACCTGTTTTATAAATTTTTAAATTAACTTATTAATTAATTAATATTGAAAATTATATTAAAACTCAATCTTGTCTTGTATTTTTATTTTCAGGAGATGGAACTCTTTCTAGGCATTCTGGTATTGATTATAAAGAAATCAAACTCGGAACCAAAATAAATTCCAACCATACAGGAGAGGTAAGTGTGTAATGAAATAGGGTTTACCCTTTTCACCACATTTATTTCTTTCCCATTTGACTTATTTGTTGGGTTCTGTACATCCATCCATTTATCTGACATGTCTGAACCAAAAAAAAAATCAACGGTTCCACTGTATTCATGATATGATCACTATCTTCAAATTACACTAATGCTAACTATTGTTTTCTCAGTTGTGGAAAGGTATGTGGCAAGGCACCGAAGTGATGACAAAGATATTGAAATTCAACACTATAACATCAAGAATACCAAGAGAATTTGGAGAAGAATTTCCAAGGCTGAGAATCTTTTCACATCCAAACATATTACCAGTTTTAGGATGTTGTAATCATCCACCGAATCTATTGGTGTTGAATGAATATATGCCGTTTGGATCACTGTATAATGTACTCCATGAAGGCGCAGGTACGATCCAGAATTTACGCTAGCGTTCATTTTTACTTACAAAATACTGACACATTGTATGTTTGATGTCACTAGCAAATAACATCCTGTTGTAAAGTTTCTCGCAGTAAACCATCCTTTGCGATTTTAATTAGTACACTGGTGTCCACTGGAAATTTTTAGCTCCGCTGTCGACTTTGTCGAGCGGAGCTTATCATATGAGTGATTGTCCGTCGTCGTCGTCGTCGTCCGTGTCAATGTTTTACTTTTTCGACTTCTTCTTGAAAACTACAAGCCTAAATGCTTTGATACTTGGTGTATATGTACCTTGGGTAGACCTCTCTTAGTTTTGTTCATTTCATGTTGATATCTTTAATTCTCTAATTTTGGTGAATATTTTTGTCATTTTTGGTAAAAACTGATATTTTCGACTTCTTGTTAAAAACCGCTAGTGCAATTGCTTTGATATTACATCTATAGGTACTACATGTGGACCTCTCTCAGATTTGTTAATTTTGTAATGATATCTTTAATTCTTTAATTTTGGTGAATATTTTTGTCATTTTTGGTAAAAACTGATATTTTCGACTTCTTGTTAAAAACCGCAAGTGCAATTGCTTTGATATTACATATATAGGTACTACATGTGGACCTCTCTCAGATTTGTTCATTTTGTAATGATATCTTTAATTCTCTAATTTTGGTGAATATTTTTGTCATTTTTGGTAA